AGGAAAAAATCCATATCCCAACAGGGCAAGGATTTTATCAACTGTTTTTTTTAAAAAGTAGTTTACAACAATGGTATAGAGATGTATAAAACTGAAAACACACATTTTTAGCATGACATATTAGCAAACAGCATCACAAATAGCAAGCAATGACAAATCAAAAGGAAAAAAAAATAGTCCAAGAGAAGATCTGGTTTAAGAAAAATAAAACCAAACCACACACGTATACATAAGACATGCATAATTCCACAACAATAGTATAGAGGAAAATATACCATTCTTTCAAACTAACATATCTTTGATACTCTGTACTTCCTACATGCTCAGATTTCTCCTAGTGACATCACTCGAAGTGTTGTGCTCATAGAGAACACAGAATATCTGTAGACAACTATGTGACTCTAAAAACAGAAACTTTCCCCCCAGTGATATGAATTGCCAATCTACAGATTTGTTCAACAGTTTGGAAGGGAACAGAGGAAAAATTTCTGTTTGGATAAAGTGATAAAAGCCTTGTTAATCCGAAGAAGGGCTTTCTTTGCTCAACACCTCACATTTCCAGTTGTCTGAATAACAAGGAAAAATAGACTGATAAAACTTCAGTTTCAATATAAACAGGGGGTTGCTCTGATAAAAAAAAGCGGGGCTTGCTATGAATCACACAGCCACTTATACAGAAACATAAATCTCTTTACAATTCAACTGTTTACACCCCAAAAGGTCCAGAAGCAGCACTGAAATGTCTCTCATAAAAGTAGTAGCAGCCTTCATGTGGAGAGAGCACTGCAGCGAGAATTACTTTGTTTCTATACACTGTTTACCTTGTTAACCTATGAAAGAGTTTTGATCAGATTTAACAGAAATAAATACTCCTGGATGTACATAAAACACAGCAAAAGTCATTCCTCAATATCAGTATATTCTAACAGGTTTTTAAAATACCCCAAACACTATATTATATGAGTATACATGTAAAACTGTTTCATAAGTCCCCCAAAAGATTGTGTTCATGCATATAAGGCAGCAGAAAAGCAGTAAAAGATTTCATATGATCAAAGCTAAACTTGTAGCTTTTCTTGAAAAAAATTAAAAAGTTGTGAAGGACCAAGTCTTGATTGTTAACATCAAACATTAATAAAGAAAGCATAAGAACATGCCAAGAGACTTGCACTACATCAACAGAACTTTAAAAAGAGAGAGACGGGGATCCTGATGTTTACAGGCTTTAAAAATGCATTTCTCTGAGAAACCTGAGTGAAACGATTTAGGAACATACTGGTAGAGAAACCCAGCAACCAGTTGGCCTATTCCTTTTTAAGTTCATTTGTCTGTTCAGCATTTATCATGCCTCTATCATTGTTTCCCTGTTTCATAAGACTGTCTTAAAAGAACTGGCTCTGGGTGTGCAGGCAGTGTAGAAGGGGGAAAGTTTTTATCGGTAGAGAGGCAAGATCTTGTTTTCTCAAAGGAGCATTTTATGGCAAAAATGTGAATTTTATTAACTCAATTTTCTTTTCTTTTCTTTTCTTTTTTTGAGAGAGAGAAAGAGAGAGGGTGAGAGAGAGTTTAGTTTTTTCACATAGCATTTTTACTCAGATTTTCCATTTTTACGAGTTTTGGCTTCTTCTTGTCCAATGAGACAAATAACTTTGTAGCATCCCTTTGTAATTTTGAACATCCACATCAAGTTCATAACATCCAAGACAACACTAGAGATAATCCAGGCACTCTGGGCTGCAAGACCCAGTCTCTGGAAAGCCTCTGTTCCAAATGCAGAAACGACACGGCCATAATAGAAAGGGATGACTGCAATCCTCACCATAAAGAACACAACGGTCATTAGCACCCCATTGATGATATTGGCTTTTGAAGATTTGGGATATCCCAGTACTTCAAAGAACCACCTGCAAGAGAGAAACATTGAGAAAACCAAACAGGGTTCAGATTTTCCAAATCCCCCTTTAACTTCCTGAGCATCCTCCCATTCTTGAATTGCTGCTCTGATTCTTGGCTTAGTTTGCAAGCTCTTCACCCCAGCTAACTGCCTCTGTGTAAAGCACGGTGTAACATATAGTACTTACATGAAAGGTTTATATTATAATATTCTTAAGGAACAGCATATAGAAAATCTTAAATGTAAATTACCAGTACAAATTAATGTGTAGCTGGCTGCACATTTCAGTCTGCAAGAGCCTACGTTGTTTCATAAGTTAAATTTAGAATTAATAAACTTTTTTCTTCTATTCTCTGAACATTTCAATTTGGACTGACTGATAGGCAACTAATACTCAGCTTTTGCCAAAGGTGATCCTGAGCCAAAAAATTTAGATCAAAACACCTTCCAATTATGTTTATATGCGGCTTTTGATTTTTGTGATCGGGGCCTTGTTTCTGTCCTAGTAAGGTTTTCATTGTTCAGTTCGGGTCAAACCAAATCTCAGGTGCAGATATTACAAGATGTACTGCTGCTTAGAGAGGCCTATGAGAACGCAAAAAAAATAAGCAAAAGGTAATTTTGAATACATTTTCTCTCCCTTCATGCCCTGATAAACAATTATCTGGCACGGAGAACCTGCAAGTTCAGTTCATAAAGAAGTAATTGGCATTGTTTTAGGATCTTTTCTTCCCTTCTCACTAAAACTTACAGTAAAATCCCACCATGCTGGGCGTGTGTAGCTGTGGAAGGTTAAGGAAAGAAACAGAGGATAGAAATAAAGAACACACATTAATTGTGCACCAGTGGAAAAAAAAAAATCAACTAGAACTACTTATCATGAAGCAGCAGATATAATAATTATTAAAACTGATACTGTAAAATCAAGTGTCAACATCTGTTGTAAATTTACTACTGAGAGTTGTGGTCATATTGAGAGATGCTCTGGATTTGATTTGGCTTTATCTTGATGCCCATAAATGCCTGATTATACTTGCTGTGCATCTGTAATGATTATGCATGTGCTGCACTAGCTTCATGCATTAGACTTAGAAAGGCGAAAAAAATAATAACTGGAAAAAGAGGTAATAGTCCATGTACCCACTGAACAACAACAAAAGAAAATTAGACTGACTATTTGTATTTCACCTATCACCAGCTGTAGGCAACTACATAAATTATACTAACCTGGAAAAAAAAAGTGGATTTGCCTGGTACATGGACAAAACCAAATCAACACCCCAAAGAAGTGCAGAAAAGAATTATAAAGGAAATTAAAGAAAAATCTATGTAGATCTTGCAACAATGTACAAATCCTTTATAAGTTTGTTAAATGTGAATTTAATGCTCATGGAGAATGCTGGGCTGTTAGCTACCCTGGAGACTCATCTATGAGAAATGTATAATGCAAATAGTGTCAGTGCAGTTCATATTGCATTAAAACAACTAAGAGCAAAATTATATTATGTGTCCTCTGGGTTTCTCAATACAGAAGGGACATAGATTTGGGCAGAAAGCTTCACCAGACAGCTTCTGGACAAAAAATGAAGCTTGTGTGATTCTTTATCACTCCAACCCTCTTTCCTAACTTAAAAGCTGGACTTGCCAAACATCAGTTTGAGGTGGATCCTGATACAGCCCCTTCTTAGAGAAGCAAGAGACTATGCAGCCCACTGCACCTTGCTCCTTTCCAGAGCATCCAGTAACAGTTAACAAAAAATATAGGGCAACAATGATCATCGTCATTGCAGCTGAAAACTATCCGGAGACAGTATGGTCTTCAAATCAAGCTGCATCCCTTCTCTCACCCCCAACATCCAATACACTCTTCTCCTCAATGCAGTCTTCCTTTCCCCTGTCCCTTGGTATGGCTCTTCACATTGCCACCAAAGACATTCAACCTCTGTATTGGTTATCCCCAATAAAATGCTTGAATGTAAACAATAAAACACTATGAGCTGTTGCATACAGCTGTATACAAGCTGTATACAGGAGGCTGGTGAAGCAGCAATGTCAGAACTGCTGTATCAGCAAGGGCCAAAAAAGTAAAAGAAAGAAAGGTCTGGATTACTTAGCAAAAGACCAGAGTTAGCACTGAAATTAAAAGAAGCAAAAATAAAATTTCATTTTACCATTATATGTTGTTGCTAGTGTCTATACAGTGATGAAATAATTTAGTCAGAGAAATGAATATACAGCTTAATTAGAGGGGAACCACATATAGTTCTTAAAGGCACAGTACAGAGAATTCTTTTTGCAGTATTTAACAAAAATGGTTCTAATTATTTGCAGATGTTCTTAAAAAGGAAATACGGCTATACTATAGACGTTGTTATATAGCCTCTTTTTTAGTTTTATTGTATTTAAAGGTGCTTCCAATTTTGTACACCCCGTTTTCATTTGCACATTAAAATTGATTTTTTTTTATTTCTTTTAAAATAGTTCTTGCAGCATCCACAACTGTTTTGATGGGAAGAACAGGAAGGAAAGAAACAGAAACCTACATAACTAGGGTGTCCTTTCACCACGAGGCTCAATGGAGCCATAAATGCAAATTTTTACAGATTTGTAAAACTTTTAAAGATATGCAAGCATACAGTATTATAAAATATAAACCTCAAGTAATCTAAGGCAACATAATTCCATCCTGGGAACCTGATGGCAATGCCACCTGGTCTCTATTCTTGGGTTTACGATAATGCTTCAAAAACCCATGCTGGAAATAAAGACTTGTATTACATAATAATTTCATAACCTATTTTTATCCATCTAGTAATAAGACACTAATATATAACCTTTCATTCCATAGTTTTATGCCAGATTTTCATTGTATGCAAAATGCCATCTACAAGGAGGACTTCCTAGGAAATATATTGGAACATTTTTTGTGTGGATAGCAGTTCAAGTTACCATAGTGAGTATACTGTTCCAGTTCCTAAGTCTGGCTGTGCTGAAGACTGACTACAGATTAATTAAATATCTATCATAGAAATTGACTGTAATTACCCATCTATCTAAAAAATATTTCAGTATGGGGGTTAAATAGAAGTCACTAACATCCACCTACCGTTGATTCACAAAAGGAGTAGAGAACTCTGCAAGCAGACGAAAATTACCAAAATAAGCCAATAATCCTTCACCCTAAATAGAAAGGCAAATGTTGCAAAAAAAGGAATATAAACCATACATCATAAATTCATTTATCATCTCTACTTTTAAAGTTTCTTAAATGTCAAGTTTACAGCATTTCAAGCATTTTATCATAATTGTATGTATGCATCAAGTCTCAATGCCCCTTCACACAATATTGGGCCTTTTATTAAAATTGAAAGCATTTATCCTTCCATGTTTGTAGCAATAACTTTAAATGGCTAAAACTGTGGATAAGTACACAGGTGTTTCTTATCACTATTAAACACTGCACAGGGCTAATAAGGAGCTGGCTAATAAAGGATTACACATGCCAAACAAAAATGGTGGTTAAGTTATAAATTAGAACACATTTGTTTTTTTATAGGGAAAAACCTATGATGAGTAAAAGCATTTTGTATTTTTCATGTTTTAAGTAAACTTAGCAGAATCACAATAAACTCACAAGAAAACTGTACTCATTTAGGAATTTTACTTTTTAAAATAAAGATTGGGGACCAACTACTTGGTCCTCATCCATCACTACAAAGCAGCTGAAAAGCTAACCTAAGAAACTAATTGGGATTCCTTAGTGCAGAAAAATGTCTGTGCTGCATAGAACAGACTATGAAAACCCCACACTAATCCTGCCACAGGCCCCAGCATATGTTATCAGCTGGAGAAAAAAGTATGGAGCCAAATTTCTACCAATCTCTAACGATCTCCAGATGGCAGAGTAGCACAGAGACACAATTAAAAGAGTGCCCAAATACTCAAAATAGCTTGGAACCGAGGCCTCCTATTTGAATTAAAGTTCCACTCCTGATCATCCTACATTCATTCTTTCTATAATCTCCATAGAGAAGAGGTAAGGATATATATTATCTGTTTTTGGTTTGTTAGTTTTTGGCACTGCCTTATGATACTAAGAGCATGGATTAAAATATTTGTGGGAGAAGCAGTTTATGGGCATGAATAAAAGCAAATGAGAGGGAGTCATTAAAATGACACTATTCACCAACAATTGCCATACTGCAGTATGTGCCACTGCCCCCCGCCCCTCCTCCCAGACTTGAAAATAGGGAATAATTTCTGGCAAGAATTCACATTTTAATGTTGATCACTGTACATACCATTGATGTACATACATCACTGTACATACCATTGATTTTAATGTTGATCACTGTACATACCATACATACTATTCCATTTTCATGTTCAGAACTGTGCAAATGAGAAGAACTGTTGCTCTTCGTCAATATCTTACAGTTTAAGGGGGAGAGGCAAAGATTTTTTTAGGGTGATCTCTTTTATGGGATGAACTACATAGTCGGGATGAAGTCAGATAAGCTTTTGAATGCAAGACATTCATCATCAGATCTCATCCCAACTACACAGTTCTTCCAGAAGACATCACCCTAAGAAATACTTCCCTCTTTTACATATTTTCTGCACCACTATGGCTACAACATCACTTTTACAGTACTAGTGTAAAGAGCCAAATTCTGAACCAAGATAAATAGGTATAATTTCCATTGAGAGTTATATCTGAAGACAAAAATGCAGGTCTGATCCTGGATGCAGGGATAACAACTTTTCTTAAACCTATATCTAGTTGATTGCTAGAGATCTTACTACTCACACCTAAATCCAGGACTGGTTTTGTCGTCATTACAAAGAGGGGAAAAAACCAGCAGATTTGGAATTTCATGTTTTCTTTTTTTTTTTTTAATCCAGTCTCATTTCCATGGTAGTAATGCTAAATCTCTTATCCTAAAAGTAGAAAAAAAGTTATTTACCCAATAGTGTAACTGGGGAAGAGGCCACCAGGAAAGTACTCCCAGGTACTGCCTTTGGGGAGAGAAGGAAAAGAGTGTGTGTGTGTGCGCGCGCGCGCATGTGTGTGTGTGTGGGGGGGGGTTAAAAATAGTTGCTATCATGCTAAATGGGGAGAGAAGGAAAAGGGGGACGGAAATGGGGGGCGGCGGCGAAGGGGGTTAAAAATAGTTGCTATCATGCTAAACAGGCCACCAGAGAGAGCAACTGCCCTGTTACACCTCTGTATTTATCCTCTGAGGACACTCTATCTCCTTTGAGCCAGAAGAAAGGATTAAATCTAAACAATATTTAGATATATACATTTTGCTCATAAAGCATCATTTGTGCTTTAAACACCAAAAGTGAGCTTTTATTTCTCTACAGTCAGCCCAAATAGTTACGAGGAGCTGGCAGATGAGTTTGATGGTATATGTTGATAGGTACAATACATCTATCATTCTGGACTTCTCCTTCATGACAATAATTCTGCTTTCCTGTTCAAGACAAGCACCTATGGTAAATTCAATATCCTTGGCAATTTGTTGTCAAGTCTAAAAAGGATACCAGGGTTTTTGGTTGTAGCCGTGTTGGTCTAAGGACATCGGCAAGCAAGGTTCTTTGAGTAGAGGTAATATCTTTTATTAGAATGTATTTACATTCTCACTGACATCCTGCCACACTTGTAGCTTCTCTTATTCCTTGGAGTCTCAGAACAGCAGAGACTTCCTATGGCTGAAGAAGGGTGACTGCACCTGAAAGCTTACAAAGAACTTTTTTCCAACTACTCAGTTGGTCTAATAAAAGATATCACATCTACACAAAGGACCTTGCCTGCAAAAAGGACAAATTTCTGCCAAGAGTCTATGCAAGTATTCTAATTAAACCAAAGTTTCTTTTTTATAAAAAGTATAAATTTAAAGCTGATGAGATTTCCTTAAAGCAAAAAAATGGTCACAGGTATACATTATCACAAAAATAAGAAAGCTTGTAGAACATTGTCAAGGACGCACTGCAGAGTAGGAGTTTTGAAGAGATGGGAGCCCAGGAAGGGTGGCTGTGCCTTAAGGAAATGATCCTTCGGGCACAGAGGGAGACAATCCCGATGCAAGGAAAAAGAGGGAAAGGGGCCAGAAAGCTTCCCTGGCTGACCAGAGAAATCCAGAGCAGCCTACAGGCTAAAAAGGGAGCATATAAAAAGTGGAAACAGGGAGAGATTACAAAAGAGGAGTATACCTCCTCTGCTCGCACTTGTAGGGAGGCAGTTAGACGGGCCAAAGCTACCATGGAGCTGAGGATGGCATCCCAGGTTAAGGATAACAAGAAATTGTTTTTCAGCTATACAGGGAGTAAAAGGAAGGCCCAGGGTGGAATAGGACCCCTAC